TTGGTGCTGGGAATTGAATCCAAGACTTTCCGTATGAGATTTACTCTAATACAAAGGTACATTTCTTCTCCTAGCCTCCAGTTTTTGTTTATGAGACAAGTTACTGATGATAGGTATTTTTGGATTCCCAGTAGTGGGTTTCTAAGCAAAGCAGCAAGTCAAATTGAGCCAAATTAAAAAGACCAGGTTTAATGAGCAAACCACCCCAGAAGTGAGGTGGGGGAGGAGAAATCACTTGGCAGGTCTAGGGATCAGAGCTAAAATACCCTGTATGCCTGGTCTTGAGCTTTGGTCGAAGAGCCTGGAATTTTGGCTGCCTGAGAGAGGTATTTGGAGAGGGAGTGTGGCTAAGGCAGTTTACAAAGAATTGATATATCCAATTCTCAATTCTTCTGCCTCAGGTTCCTAAATGCTGGGATAATAGGTATACATCACATCTGGAATTTGTTTTTAAACTAATCACACTAGACTAGCCAGGTATAATGGCCAGTATCTATAATCCCAGCACTCAGAAGCCTTGAATTCCCAAGGTTGATTTCAAACTCTCAATCTCTACCCCCTAATCTTCCTATCTTTACCCACTAAATGCTGAGGTTACCTGTACACTGTCATCATGCCTTGATAGCCCTTGGATTTCAGAGACAGAGTTATGTAGCCTTTATAGCCTAGTTCCGCCCCTAGAGTGCTAGGATTAGAGGCACAAAACACCATGCCAAGGTTATCTACACATGTGTGAATAGGCTACTGGTATTTATAAAACAGTTAGAAAAGATGAGAAAAAAAACAAGAAAACAAATACAAAACCACACACCTCTCGAAGAATGGCATTGCCATCATTGGTCATCACGATGCCTCCCATTGGGTCCAAAAGCATCTAAGAAAAAAGCAGCAAAAGTGTTATAGATAACAATAAAGGCGGACCTGGATTCTGAGTTCCAATAAAAGGTAGTCCCACCTTCATCATAGATTTAGGTCCCAAACATGTCCGGATGATGTCTGCAATTGTCTATTGGTAAGAAAATACAAAACAAGAAGTACAAATCAGAGAACAATTGTTTTAGAGAACAATAGACAGAACCATTATTTTGTTTTCAACTCAGAGATGCTTCTGCTTCTCAAGTGATAGAATTAAAGTCATGTTCCACTATGCCCAGTTCAGAGCCAGTGCTTTAAACATTTATTTTGATGGGTATGAGTATTCTGCCTGCACGTTTGTGCACCAGATGCATGCCTGGTGGCCACAGAAACCTGAAGAACACATTGGATTCCCCCCAGTTATGGGAGATTGTGAGCTACAACTGGGTTTGGGGAACCAAATCTTTCTTCTACAAGAGTAAATGCTCTTAACTGAGGAGCCAACTCTCCAGCCAGAGTCAGCGTCTTTTTGTTATCCCGTGCCCCGCCTATCCCGAAACAGAGTTTTTCTGTATGACAGACTTAGCTGTCCTGGAACTTACTCTGTAGACCAGGTTGGCTTCAAACTCAGAAATCAGCTTTCCAAGTGCTGCGATTAAAGGGCTGCACCACCTCCCAGCCAGAGTCAGTGTTTTAACAAAGACACTGGACAAGAAGGATGGCAACTATCTTACACACAGCAATAAATGACCACACATACACAGCCTACTAACTGTGTTCTGAGGATTGAATCTAGTAAGTACATACACATGCATACCTATATACATAAGGTAAGTTAATGTAAAATGTTTTCAAAATTAAAATTTACTGCAAACATGCAGGGAGTGAGGAAAACACCATCGAAAAGCACGCCTCCAATACTGACTGATGCCCAGAGAAATGGGCCTCCAAAAGAAATGTTAGCAGTTTAAATTGGCCTTAGGCTTAAGTGTCTCACATAAGATGACACCTTTAAATCTCTTTGGGGTATGGACTACAAGTCACACTTTGAGCAATTTATACAGAGACAGGAGACTCAAGTCTGGCCACTTGAACAAAGGGAGATTTACATAACAAAGATATTGTAACAATTATTTTTTACTTTTCACTGACAGTGGCCCCCAGACCACCTCCAGTATTACTCACTCATAAGGTGTTTACCTACTTGGGAGACATAAGCAAGTAGATCTCTGTGAGTTCAAGGACAGCCTAGTCTAAAGAGTGAGCACTAGGCCAGCCAGACAAGATCCTGTCTCCAAAGAAGGGCAGGGGCAGGTCTAAAGAGATGACTCAGTGGTTAAGAGCACTGGTTGCTCTTCTTGAGGATCCAAAATCCAAGCCCTAGCACCCACATAGGTCCTAACAATCTGTAACTACAATTTCAGGGGATCTGATAACCTCTTCTAACCTTGTGCATCAGGAATGCACATGGCACACCTACATACATGCAGGCAGGCAAAACACATAAAGCAAATACCTCCCCCCCCCCCCCAGTCTCTCTGTGGCTTTGGAGGCTGTCCTGGAACTAGCTTTTGTAGACCAGGCTGATCTTGAACGCAGAGATCTGAATGCCTCTGCCTCCAGAGTGTTGGGATCATAGGCATGAGCCACCACCACCTGATCTTTTTTTCTTCTTTCTTTCTTTAAATAAATAAATCTTAAAACAAAACAAAACTAAAAAACTCTCCCTCCCCATGCCCCCATCAAGGAATTGCCTTGGAAAAGCAGTTTTTCCTTTGTTTAATTGTATATTCTGAAGCATAGGTCCATAGGAAGCATACTACTACAAATATAGAATTAGGGAGTCAGCCAGAAAAAACTTTAAAAAAAATTTATTATTATTTTTTATGTACATTGGGGTTTTGCCTACATATGTCTGTGTGAGGTTACCAGAGTGCCGGAACTGGAGTTAACAGACAGTTGTATACTGCCATGTGGGTGCTGGGAACTGAACCCAGATCCTTTGAAAGAGTAGTCAGGACTCTTAACCACTGCATATCACTACACCCCCAGAACAAACTTCTATAAACACTTAAATGTGTGTTACCTTAGCAGCATTGATATTTCCAGATTGAACTTTTCTTCCAGATTCACGCTTTGTATTCTGACCTAGAATAGATAAAAACACATGTTAATAACTCAGTGTACACAAGCAATTTATTTTAATCTGTGTATGTCAGGTACACAAAAGCTCAGCACAGTGTGGAGGTCAGAAGGTAACTTTCAGGAGTTGATTCTATTTATACCACATATATGCCAGGGTTAAATGTAATCAAAGCCAGATGTGATGAGGCATGCCTTTAATTTCAGCACCTTGGAGGCCAGCCTGGTCTCCAAAGAGAAAACTTGTCTTAAATGAAACAAAACAAAAATCCCCTAAAACTGCTCACATATTCTCCCAGCTCTTTACTTCTCCATTTCAGCTCCCTGGTACGCTAAGAGATAACCTGAAATACTTCAATTTAAGAGTCTTGATCAATACTTTCCTGTAGGCTCACATATTTCCAGCAGGGAGTCATGTCCTAAGATCCCTGAATGGGCCTCAGTAGGATGGTGGTTTTTCTCAATAGTAGGTAGAAAAATGAGGCAATTGCATATCCCTCACAGCACCCTGGGAGAGGAGTCACAGCCTCAAACACTAGTGACCAAGAAAGTCTGGTTGTGAAGCTGGAAAGATGGTTTTGCTGTGTTTAAGAAAACTGGCTCCTCTGCCAGGATACAGGTTCGATTCTCAGCCCCTGACAACATCTCACAACTGCCTTTAACTTCAGTTCCAGGAGATGTGATGCCTCTTCTGGTCTCCATAGGCAAACATGCATGCAGGCAAAGCACCAATACACAGAAAGACAGGAAAAAAAAACAAAAAACAAAAAAACCAAAAAACCCAAAAAACAAAAAAACCTGCCAATCACAAAGAAAATTGAATTCCCAAGTAATTTCACGATAGAAGAAGAAAAAGACTAAAGCCTAGGAGCCAGACAAGAAACTTGTCTCGAAGGAGACTAGCACAGACAATGATGAACTCCTTATATGTCCTGGCCTGTTATTTGAGGCTAAACCTCATGGACTTCTGTGTGTGGGGGTGGGAAGGGTGGTGTCACCGAACCCCTTTGTGACCATACCAAATAACATTTTTCTGTTTTCTATTTACTAAGTCTAACTGGCTTACTGAGTTATCCTTAATAGCTCCGGGAAGAGACAAGGAATTGGTGCTCTTTACTCAAGAAATGAATGGCATTCCCTAAAGAGGAAAGAAAGCCAGGAGAGGAATCGGGAGGAACTTAACTGGTCGAGGCAAGGAGTGTCAATTCAGAACAAGGGTCGCCGAAGGTCCGCTACCTTGGACATGATGCCACTTACGATCTACCAGTAAGGGCAGGTTTACTTCATCAACTTAACTCACAATTCTTTAAAGAATTACTACAGCCTCCTCATACTGACGTTAAAGCATAAATTAAGCGACTTGCCCTAAGTCACGCCAGACTAAGGGATGGACCCAAGGCATGAAGCAAGGCCCAACGTAAAGAATCACTATTCACTAACTACACGCCGGAAACCACGCTGTAAAGGACACGGGGGCGTGGAGGGTGGCGGCTAAAGGACGGAACACGAGTGGAATGGAGCACATGTAAAGACGAGCGACTCCGAGAGCGGAAAGTCATTTTGTCAAAGGAGGGCGACGGGAGGTGGTATAAGAGAAAAACCAGAGAAGGCGCTTCCAAAAGGAAAAGGCGACTGGAAGGTACGAGGGGGGCCGAGTCATGGCGGGACGGAGCTGGGCAGCACTGGCCAGCGTGGGGAGAGAGGGGCGGAGGAAACCACCGCCTCCCTGAACTCACTGAGCACGAGCACTGGACGGTGGCCCATCATGGCGGCACGATGCAGAGCCGAGTACCCAGAGCTGGGGGAACCGGCAGAACCTTCTGGAGAGAAGAGCAGCTAAGAAAACGCTGCCTCCTCAGGATTGACACAGAAACCTGCTACCCTCTGAAGGGCCGCCAATCACTAAATCCACTTCCTTGATTGGCACGAACATAGACCAATCGTGAGTATTAGTCACGCCCTCTACGCAAGAAAGGTAAGGCAAGTTAGGTGGAGAGGGCACGATGAGGGGCCAGGGAGACGCAAGCGCCTGCGCACTAGCGTGGCCGCTCCCGGCCGCGTGCGGACAGAATGTCTGCGCAAGCGCCGGGGCACGGGCGGTTGGCCGGCTCGCTATAACGCATGCGTACCAACTACAGGGTGGGTGCTGGGGTTGAGGCTTTGGATTAATGCTGCAGGTGAGGTCGTGAAACTCTGTTTTGTCCACCGGTTTTCGTCCGACCGTGTGAAGGTCAAGAAAGGCATGACAGTATCCGACTTTTTATTCCAGCGTTAGCAAATGGGAGGGATAGTGGTTAGGAAATAGCGGCGTGGCCGGAAAGATTGAGGCGGGGAAGTATTGAGGCAGTGGAAGTTGTCTTACAGGGCGGGGAGGCAACGACCCTTTTTTGCCCCCGAGCACGCTGGGAGTTGTAGTTTACAGCCTCTAGACTTGCGTTTTTCTTTCTTTTTCTTTTCCTTTTTCCTATTTTTTAATCTTTATTTTTATTTTACATATCGATCCCAGTTTCCCCTTCCTCCCTCCCTCTTTCCCTCTCTCCCACCCTCTCATAGCCCCCCACCACCACCCTTCCCTCCAATCCCCCCCCCCCACTCGTAGGGTAATGCCTTCCAGGAGGGATCATCCAAATCTGTGAAGTCATTTGGAGTAGGGGCTAGGCCTTTCCTCCTGCCTCTAGGTTAAGGGAGCATCCCTTCATGGGGAATGTGCTCCCAAAGTCCTTTTGTGCACCAGGGATACATCCTGGTACCACTGTCAGAGGTCCCTTAGACTGCCCAGGCCTTCTAACCGTGACCCATGTTCAGGGCGTCTGAGTCAGTCCCATACTGGATTCCCAGCTATCAGTCTGGGAGCCCATTAGCTCCGCCTTGTTCAGGTCAGCTGTCTCTGTGTGTTTCTGCAGCCTGGTCTTGTCCTCCCTCTCTGTTTCTGGATTCCAATTCGGCTCAGTGTTTAGTTGTGGGTGTCTGCTTCTGTTTCCATCAGCTACTAGATGAGGGCTCTCATTCAGGATGGTTGCTTCAAGTTCCACCTATTTGCCTGGGAATTTCAAGATTCCATTGTTTTTTTTTTCCCCGGAGTAGTATTCCATTGTGTAGATGTGCCACATCTTCTTTATCCGTTCTTCAGTTGAGGGGCATCTGGGTTGCTTTCAGGTTCTTGCTATTACAAATAATGCTGCTACGAACATAGTTGAACACATGTCTTTGTTGCATGGATGTGGATCATTTGGGTACAAGCCTAAGAGGGGAATTGCCGGGTCCTGTGGTAGACTGATTCCCATTTTCCTGAGGAACCGCCATACTGATCTCCAAAATGGCTGTACAAGTTTGCACTCCCACCAGACTTGCAGTTTTTCTTTTTAAAAAAAGAAAGATCATGTCTTTTATATGCACTCATTTTTAAATTTTATGTGTATGAGTATTTTGCCTACACGTATGTATGTGCACTACATGCGTGCCTGGTGCACAGGGAGGTAGGAAGATCCCGTGGGACTAGAGTTTAGGATGGTTGTGAACCGCCTTGTGGTTACTGGGAACTGAACCCTTGTCCTCTGCAGCACTAGCTAGTGCTCTTAACTGTTAAGCTAGCTCTCCGAGAGTCCTAAATTTTTTACTTCTTAGAAAAAATATTTTTCATTTAAGGCAGTAAGATGTAGTATCCCCGAATATCCTATCTCGAGTGTTCTTGTAGTATTTTGAGCCTTTTTTTCACCATTCACCCTGACCACCCATTCTCTGACTCCTTAAAGACAATGGGAGGGAGCTAGAGTTTTTAAATTAGTATACTACCATACTAGAGTACTATGGTTGGCCTGGAACTCCCCATGGATCCCAGGCTGGCCTCAAATTGGGTTCAACCCTCTTGCCAGAGCACTCCACATAGGGAGAGAGAGAGACTAGAAGTTAAATACTTAGAAGACATGTTTGTGATAGATTTAAAGTTTGGATTTGGTATGTTCCCATTTTCTCCAATGAAAAGGAAATAACAACTCTGCTGAAGGGAACTGTAAAAAATGATCAAGTTAAGAACAAGGATTTGTCTGGTGTGGTAGCACACATGTGATGAACTCCTGATGCTGAGTCAGGAGGAGAGCGATTTTGATGACTGCACTTAGCCTGAACTACATACATCCTGGGAGTGAGTAGGAGGGCATCCTGCTCTTACAGAGAACTTCAGTTCTCTGCACTGATGTTTGGCTGCTCACAGCCACCTGTAACTCCAGCTCCAAGGGGATCTACTTACATATGAACATACACACATAACTAAAAGTAAATTTTTAAGTTAAAAACCAGGCACCTGTATTAACTGTGAGACAGTATACACTATAATACTTCTGCCTCCCAAAATTAGAGCAGCTGTAACCAATTTGGATCTGCTGGGTGAGATTAGGAAACACAACATTGTTGTTTGACTATGTAATCCTGTGATTCTTTCCCAGGCACCATACCTGTTACTGTTGAAATGGAGCAGCACACTAATCCTACTAAGGACAAAGGTGTGTTACAGGCCCTACATCCTTTTCCTCAGAAGCCAGCCCTCTTTACTTACTCAGTGTTTGCAGAAATGACTCTGGTTATGTGTATGTTTTGTGTATTAGAAAGTACTTGGGAAGGGGGGTTGGGTGAAAGAGGAGATAGTTCTTACTTCATTGCCATAGCTGTCCTAGAACTCACTGTGTAACCTAGGCTGGCCTCAAATTTCAGACAACTCTTTTGCCAGAGCACCCCACATCTCAACTGCTGGAATTACAGGCACGGCCCACTGTATCCAGCTTTTTTGTTGTTTTCGAGACAAGGTCTCTGTGTAGCCCTAGCTGTTCTAGAACTCACTCTATAGACCAGGCTGGCCACAAACTCACAGAGCTCTGCCTGCCTCTGCCTCCCGAGTGTTGGAATTAAAGGTGTGTACCACTACTACCTAGCTTTTTTTCTTCTTCATATAACCCAACCTGGCCTCCAACTTGCAATAGTCTTAGCACAGCCTCCCAGCTGCTGAGATGACTGGCATGTGTGTACTACCATGCCTGGCTTTGATGAGCTCTTTTTATAGTTTCTAGAGTGTCAGTAAGTAGAGCAGAGCTTTACAGTCTAGAGACCCATGTTTAATTCTAGCACTGCAATGTGGCAGCTGCTCCTGACCAAATTTTCTTTTTTTTTTTTTTCACGTCAGATGGGTAATGTGCCCACGTCGTAACAAGGTTTAATGGGCGGCACACGTCACGCAGAGGTGTGAATCCCCAATCATCACGCTTATGAACCAAAAAAGGATCCCTGACCAAATTTTCTTAACAAGGGATTGATTCCTCAAGTACAATGCTGCTAATATTATCTACTTCTTAGAGTTGTTGAAAAAGATATCAGAGGGCCTGAGGGAATGGCTCAGTGGGTAAAATCCTTGCTTGCAACATGAGGACCTGAGTTTGGATCCCCATAAGACTTATAAAAAGCCAGATGTGGTGGCATATGTCTGTAACCCCAGTACTTGTGGAGGCTGGGTACATAGACAGGTGGATCCCTGAAGCCTATTGGCCAGATGGTCTAGTTGAATTGATAAACTCCAAGTTTGGTGAGAGACTTTTTCAGTAAAGTAAAGTGAGGCTGGGTATGGTTGTCTGTAGCCAGTGGATCTTAATCTCAGCCCTTAGGAAACAAATACAGGTGCATCCCTGTGACTGTGTGGCCAAGTGAGTCTATATTGTAAGTTCGAGGACAGCCAGAGCTACATAGAAAGACCCTGCCCTCACCAAAACATACATTAAAAAATAAGGTGGAAGGGACTGGAGATATGACTCAGCAGTTAAGAGCACTGGCTGCTCTTCCAGAAAACACAGGTTCAATTACCATCACTCATGACAGCTCACAACTGTCTGTAATTCCAGAGGGTCTGATGCCCTCATCTGGCCTCCAAGGGCACCAGGTGTGCATGCAGACAAAGTGCTCATACACACAAAATAAAAAAAAAAAAAAAATAGGTGGAGAGCAATTAAGAAGATACCTGATATAGACCTCTGGCTTTCACACACATGCACATATACAAACACACATAAAAGAAATATGTATTTATGTATATGTATATACATACACATGTATTAAAGGCTGATAAAGGTGACTTCCCCTATAAACTCAGCCCTCAGAAGTCTGAGGATTGCTGCAAATTCCAGGGCAGCTCTGCCTCAAAAAAGCAATGTTTATGTGTGTGAAGTATTGCATACCTGTAGTCCCAGCACATGAAAAGCTGAGGCAAGGGTATGGCCTGGGATACACAGTGAGTTCCAGCCAGGACTTCCATAGCCTGTGTCAGAGAGATGGCTCAGCAGTTAGGAGCACTGACAGCCCTTCCAGAGGACTGGCATTGAGTACCCAACACCCACATGGAAGCTCGCAGCCTTCTGAGGGCACTAGGCATGATACATTGCACATGCATGCATTCAGGAGAAACACCAAAAGACATAAAAAATAATAAAAGAGATTTGATTTAAAAAAAAAAAAAAGCAGCTGACAGCAGAGCAGACTTGCGTTTTATAGGATTGGTGACATTTAGACATTGCTGAGCTTGTTGTGCATGTGTGAAATGGACAGTATAGGTAGGCAGTTTCTTCTGTGCTTCTGTGGACAAGTAAAAGGCATCTTTTTTTGGCAGCTGTGTGGCACACACCTGTATTCCCAGCACTTGAGAAGTGTAAGTAAGAGGGTCACAGTACAAGGCCAGCTACATGAGACCCTGCCTCAGAAAGGGAAAAAGAAACACATCTTTCCTATAACGCGTGTCATACCTCTGTCCCAGGCTTGTTTTATAAGTAATTCCTCAGGACATTTTCCCCAGCTTCACTGTCACATTGTAGGCATTTAGCTATCTTATACCTGTATAAATAAATTAATTAATTTTCCTGTCTTTTCCCCCTCAGTGCTGGGGATCAAACCCAAGGCCTTAACACAGGTTAGGCAAATGCTCTGCCACTGAGCTAAGCCACCAGCTCTGTCCTTTCTTGATCTTTTTAAATGATATACATATGTATTCCAGAGCTAGAGAGTAAGTGCATGTAAGCCAACTTGCCAGAGTTTTTAGAGAGAGTCTTTTTAAATAGCATTGGCTTTGCTAGCCCCATTCTTAATGCTGCTGTTGCTTTCCCAGCCTCTTTCTTCCACGGTCTTATAGCCTTGAACTCATGTAGTCAAGGATTCAAGGAGCTCATGAACCTCCTGCTCCCACCTCCCAAATATTGGAACTGCATGTATATACCACTTTACCTATTTTATGTGGTTCTGGGGATCAAACCCAGGGCATTGTGAATGCTAGGCAAACTGGGCTACACCCTGGCCCATACCTCCATATGCTCTCTCCTGGTCCCAGCTTTTCTGTTTGTTATTCATTGCTCTTCTCTCTACTCTGTCACTTCCTTTTCATCCTTCAGGCTGGTCTCGACCTCAGAGACCCACCTGCCTCTGCCTCCAGAGTGCTGATATTAAAGGCATGTGCAACCACCACTGGCTTTTATTTTTGTAGCTTCTTTATTCCCTTTTAGTGCCTGGCTAGCAATTGAACTTCCACCCATACTTAGTGCCACCCTTTGTTCTGATAGGTATTTCTGTTTGATTTCCTACTTTCACCTTAGAACCCTTAGTTCATCTAAAGTGTGATTATGATTAAATGATAGAACCTAAAGTCAAGCTGCATTGAGTACAAAAGGTAATTTAGGAGCTTGTACAGTTGGGTTACAAGAGCTCAAGAGCTTCAAAGGCCAGAAATCTTGGTTTGGTACTGGGGCTTCTGACTTGGAATTTGTTCATATAGCTATGTGTTCTCCTCCTCCCTTGCTGCTAGTTTTGCTTGTACCCACTTCTTATGGTATGCTGGCCAAATTCAGTAGCCTCCATTAGAACCAACTTTATGTCCTCCCTGCACAGCAACTAAAGAAAGTAGGTTTTTTTTCTTCCTTCCTTCCTTCCTTTTTTGCCTTTGCTTGTTTTTTTAAGACAGTCTTAACATGTAACCCGGTTAGCCCAGAGCTTGCAACCCTCTAGTCTGCTTCCCACAGGGCATGCTCCTGTGACTATTAAGAATGCTTAGGCACACATCATGTCCATTTGTTGATCCTGTGACATGACTGGCCCAACCTACTTTTCATGTATTTAGCAGCTTGTCATCACAGCTGCTGAGAGGGTGGGATGTCAGGGTTGCCCTGTGCTGGGCCATGGTCTATCTTCAGTGTTGAGAAGCTGGAGTGCTGGCTTACCGGTATAGCTGGGATCTGGGGAAAGAATAATTTCCCAGAGTGACAATTAGTAGATAAGAAGGACAAATTTCTGTGATGGAACTCACTAGGTCTGCAAAGTCAGTTTTTCCTTCTGATTTGACTGTTTTTGCCAAAGGTAACATTACTAGTTTTAGAATCTCTTCTATAGCCAGATGTGGCTCACTCTTAGAATTCCAGCACTTGGGAAGGTGAGGCAGGAGGATTGTTGTGAGTTCAAATGTAGCATGAGGTACATAGAGAGTACCAAGCCAGCCTTAGTTACCTAGCAAGACTGTCTCAGAAAATCAAAAAAACTTTAACATGTGCAACTCATATTTTATATGTATAATGAAAAGGGCAATTTATTTCTTTTTTTGAGACAGATTCTACCATGTAGCCTTGGATGGCCTGGAAGGGTCTCATCACGTAGCCTTGGCTGGGCTGGAACTTGCTGTGTAGATCACCTGGAACTGGAGTTAAGGTGGTTGTGAGCTGCCTGAAGTGGGTTTTGGGAACCTAACTCAGGTCCTCTGGAAGGAAAACTGCTAATCCATGTCTCCGGTCCTTGAAATATGATTCTTTAAGTGGTAGCAACCAATTCCTATTCTTTTTTAGACAGGGTCTCACTATGTGGTCCTAGCACTGGGTCATGTGCCTATTCTTAGTGCTGGGAGGGCTCGAATGCCCACAGAGATCCCTACTGGCCTCTGCCTTCTGGATGCTAGGATTAAAGGTGTGAGCCATCAGCTTGACTTACTCATTGTTCCAAACCTTAAAGGTTGAGAGGCCTATTTATTACATTAAGGGGAAAGGTAAACATCTCAGGTTTGGTTACATAGAGAGGCTTCTCTGGCCTATCCTATGTCAGCGATGATTGCCCCCTTCTCTCTCCATCTTCTGACTTGGCTAGTTTCCTGGGGCTTCTCAACCTCCAAGATTATTATTGCCCTTTTACCTGAGATCATGTTATGTCATCCTTTTTCCTACTCTGCTCCTTAAAAGCTTTCCAAGTTTTCAGAGTAAATGTCCCCACATGGAGCCTCTGAGGGGGACCCCTCAGAGTTATCTCAGAACACATCCAGACCCTGAGTTCTTAGCATAAAGGAGATTTATTACAACAGAGGGACAAGCATGTGGGAGTGGGGGAGGCTGTCTCTAGAAGCAAAGCAAGCAGGAGGTGTTTTTTTTTTTTTTTTTTTTTTTTTGCAGGAGTGGGTTTTTAAGGAGAAAAGAGAGTCTGTGCTAGGGTGAGTTTACTAAATCTTAATTGGACAGGTTAGTCAGTGTAGCCAAATAATGAATTTTGATTGCTGAAACTAGGTGTTTAGTCTCAGGACCAGTCAGTGGCCAAATAAGAGAATAGACCTTAGGGGTTAGCTTTAGGAATGTAATCTAATGGTTTAGTAAACCAGAAGGATGGAAGGCAAAACCTGTGGGCACCGTGTTTGCCATGCCAGCCTCTTCTAAATATGTGTTCATTGTAATCTCCATCTCCCCTAAAACCTTACTTTTACATTTGTTTACATACTTGGCCTTAACTGGGTATGTTCACCCATAACCCCAATAAAAACCTTACTTTATCCAGGTTTTTTGGTTTGGTTTGTTTTTTTAAGACAAGGTTTCTCTGTGTAGGCCTGGCTGTCCTGGAACTTGCTTTGTAGACCTCCTGGCCTCAAAATCATGGAGAATGCCTGCCTCTGCCTCCCACATTTACTGAGGTTTTAAGACTCACTATATCTTTGTGTTGTTTCACCTGATTCTTTTAGTTGTCTAGAGAGAGTCTCATATAACCCAGGCTGGTTTTGAACTTCTTGTGTAGTAGAGTTAACCTTGAACTTTTGATCCTCTTGCCTCCATCTTTGTGGTGGTATATTTTTTTTAATGATTTATTAAAGCTTGACTGAATGGCTGGAGAGATGGCTCAGAGGTTAAGAGTACTGGCTGCTCTTCCAGATGTCCAGAGTTTAATTCTCAGCGCCTACATGGTGGCTCACAACCATCTACACGACAGAACACTGTATACATAATAAAGCTTGACTTAGGGTACAGAAAGCAAAGCAGTGGAACCACTAGCTCTTACCTCTACCTCAGACTGAAAGGGCTGATCCTGTCTCCACAAGCTCTCCACCAAGCCTCAGACTGCTACCTCTCCTCAGCATAGCTAGAGAATCAATCTTAACATGAGACCCTTTGCTTTTTACACCTCCCTAGTGTTAGGATTAAAGATGTGTGATCCCAAGTGCTAAGATCATCTTTGTGTGAGCTGTTTCTCTACAGGACTGGATCAATTTCATGTAGCTCAGTGTGTCATGTAGCTCAGAGATCCGTCCATTTCTACCTCCCAAATGGTGGGATTAAAGGTGTGTGCCACCACTTCCTGGCTTCTATAACTAACTAGTGTGGCTAGCTTTGCTTTCTGTACCTTAAGACAAGCTTTAATAAATCCTAACTATTGTATCACCACACCCCATCTAGATACTGGGATTACTAATGTATACCACCTTGCCTGAAGACAATGTTTCACTTGATCCATTTGTCTCCCTAAGTTGATAATGAGCAGCTAAGAAACTATGTTGTACATGTCTTTTGTGTGTTTCTCAGTGTCTGGTAGATTAGTAAGCATGTAGTACATATTGAGCAAGTAAATTGGACTTTACTTCTGCCATGCCTGGCTTCACGTAACTCACTTGTTTCTGGTTTCTGTGTCTTCTCTTTGTATATCTTCCTGACACTTGGGTAGGACCTGCTGTCTGCTTTTGTAGATCAGGTGCAGTGATTCAGTCAGAAAGGCAGTCTCACACTTGCACTCCCACTTTTGAGAGGCCAAGGCAGGAGGGTCTTGGGTTCAAGGTCAGCCTGGGTTATTGTCGTACAATTAAAAGAGGAGGAAAGGGGCAGTGGAAGGCAGGCTAACACTTGTTAGAATGAGTTTTGATTTAGTCACCTGATTTTCAGCCAAAGAGGAAGATAGTGCTGTGTGTCTTTGTCCAGCAAAACCCTCCCCCAGTTATATCAATCTTCAAGCAAATTCCCCGCCAGCCACTTTCTTGAACATCCAGACAACAAAGCTGCCTTCAGGTAAGGCTTGGGGAGAAGGTTTCCAGGGAGACCTAGGCAGGAGAGCAGGTGCAAAGTAGCTTAAGCTTCCCCTGGGTCAGGCTGGCTGCTCAGCAAGCACGCTTGTTTCACTCTCAGGGTAACGTTGATGATTTGTTCTGTTGGTTTCACTCTTTCCCCAGATTTCTCACTTATTGGCTACTCGGCTCAAGTAGGCGGGCCGAGGCCACTGTCTTTGTGCTGGCTGCTCCTGGTGGTTAAAAGGGACCCAGGGAAGGAGATGGCAGCTTTAGCTTGGATCCTGCTTCTTTGAATTTCTCTCACTCACCTTCTCCTAGGGAAGTCAGTGGATAGTTGAATACTTACGGGGAACTCAACGCTACGTAGCCATAGCCCCCCAGATGCAGACAGTATAGCTATTGAGGTTATTGAAAACATTTAAAAAGTAAGCTGATCACCAAGGATGACTGGAGTTAGACAATGGTGAAGCTTCAGGTCCCTAAAAGGGACCTAGGTTTCATCCACTCAGCAAAATAAACAAAAACCAAACACAAACAACAACAACAGCAAAAAGCCCCTTTTCAAGCTGTGAGTGTAGCTCGACTGGTGGAGTTTTTACCTGGTGTGCATAAGGCCCAGAACCACACAAACTGGGTACAGTGGCATATGCCTGTAATCCCAGCACTTGGAATTGGGAGGCATGGGGATTAGTTTAAATTTGTCCCTAGCTATTCAGAGTGCTTTTTTGTTTTGTTCTTTCGAGACTCTGTTTCTCTGTGTAACAGTTCTGGCTGTCCTGGGGCTTACTTTGTAGACCAGGCTGGCCTTGAGCTTGGAGATCCCCCTACCTCTGATTCCAGACAGTCTTTTTTTTTTTTTAAGAGTTATTTATTTTACATGAGTGCTTTGTCTGCATGTGCACCTTTATGCCAGAAGAGGGCACTAGAGCTCACTACCGATGGTTGTGAGCCATTATATGGTTGCTGGGAATTGAACTCAGGACCTCTGGAAGAGCATACAGTGCTCTTAACCGCTGAACCATCTCCCTCCCCCCACCCTCCCACACAGTTTTTTCTTGTTTTGTTTGTTGTTGTTCTGAGTTCTTCTGTAGCCTGGAACTCACTGTGTAGCCCTCATACTTGCCTCCTGATTCATCATCCCAGGCACTAGGGTTACTGATGTACGTACGCGCCCCCCCCCCACCCGCCATGCCTGGCTCAAGATAGATTTTCAAAGATTGAAGTGGATGTCTTGAGAGTTCAAAGTTAGCCTGGTCTACATATTGAGTTCCAGGCTATCCAGGGCTATCCAGTAAGACCCTGTCTTAAAAACAAAACAGGTGCCGGGCAGTCGTGGAGAAACCTTTAATCACAACATGCAGGAGGCAGAGGCAAGCAGATCTCTTGAGTTCAAGGCTAGTCTTGTCTACAAAGGGAGTTCCAGGATGGATGGGGCTAAACGCTGTCTTGAAAAGCAAAACAACAAAAAAACCAAACAAGAAAAGAGCACTTACTGTTCTTTCAGTGGACCTGGGTTTGGTTTCCAGCACTTGCAGGGTAGCTCACACCTATCCGAAGGTGTAAAGCCCTTTTCTGTCCTCCTTGGACATCATTTATTAACATGGCACACAGACAGACATACATGCAGGCAAAACACACATACACATGCAATGAAAAAAAAAAAAAAAACCCAAGTAATTGAAAACAGGAACAGCAGCAACAAAACCTATTTTTAAAAGAGCCTGGGAGCCAGATGTAATCCATACCTGTCAGACCAGCCCTTGGAAGGTGGAAAAAGTAGGCTCAAGAAGGCCATCCTCAGGGCTAGAGAGGTACCTCCAAGGCTAAAAGCACTGGCTACTGTTTGAGAAGATCCTACATGGCAGCAAACAACCTTTCCTAACTCTGGTTCCAAATCTAACACCTCTTTTAGCCTCCATGGGCACTGTGTGCACATGGTACACAGACATACGTGAAGGCAGAACACCCATACCCATAAAATAAATAAGTCTAAAAAACCTCTACGACAGACAGACATCTTTAATTTTTACCTATTTAGTTTGTTTTGCCAAATAGGGTTTCTCTATGTAACAGCCCTGGCTGTCCTGGATCTCACTCTGTAGATCAGGTGGCCTTGAACTCACAAAGATCCACCTGCCTCTGCCTCCTGAGTTCTGGGACTAAAGGTGTATGTCATTATCACGTGGCTTAATCAGCTTTTTTTTTTTTTTTTTTTTTTTTTTTTAAGATTTATTTATTATGTATAGTGTTCTGCCTGCATGTATGTCTACACACCAGAAGAGGGCACCAGATCTCATAGGCAGTTGTGAGTCACCATGTGGTTGCTGGAGGCTGAACTCAGGACTTCTAGAAGAGCAGCCAGTGTTCATAACCTCTGAGCCAACCCTCCAGCCCCTTTTTTGCTATAGCTTTAAAAATATATTTTGTATGTATGAGTGTTTTGCCCATATGCATGTCTGTGCACCACTGCATACATGTAATGCCTGTGGAGGCCAGAGGAGGGCATCAGATCCCCTGTAAGAGGACTTGCAGGCAATTGTTAGCCACCTTGTGAGTTCTTGGGGCTGAACTCTGGTCCTCTGCCAGAGCAGCCAGTGCCTTTATCTACTGAATCATTTCTCCAAGTTTATTTTTAATGTATGTATGTATGTATGTTTTTTTTTTCTTTTCTCTCCCCACCCCCCTCCAGGCAGGGTTTCTCTGTAGCTTTAAGCCTGTCCCAGAATTCTCTGTAGATTTATTATTTATACAGTGTATCCCTGAAAGCCTGAAGAGGGCACCAGATCTCATCACAGATGGTTGATGGTTGTCAGCCATCATGTGGTTGCTGGAAATCGAACTCAGGACCTCTGGAAGAGCAGCCAGTGCTCTTAACCTCTGAGCCATCTCTCTATCTCCTGTTGTTTTCTTTTTAATACTGGGTCTTTCTATGTAGCTCTGCCTGTTCATAGAGATCCACCTGCCTCTGTCTTCTGAGTGCTGGAATTAAAGGCATGCACCACCATCACCCAGCTTTTTAAATGTGTTTTTGAATACTTATGTTCAGCCACTTCTCTTGATGCTGGGGATACTAAAGTAGACCAGACAAAAGTCCTTGCCTTCCTGAAGTATACACTCAAGCAGGGAACTTAGACAAACATGAGTGATTACTGAGTACTCCAGATGACTGTACATACTATAAGAAAAGTTAAAAGGGGATGGGGTGAGTTGCAATAATGTGTTTCAAATTAAAACAACATTGGCAGGTAAGCCTCGGGAAGATAACTGCTGAGCAGAAGTGCATCTGGTTTGGGTTGTATGTGGGAGAATTGGTGCTCTTATGGAGTCCTTCCAACCTCACTGCAATTACAAAGCCTCTTTCCTTTGTCCCTTTGCACCTCCATCACGCTTCCTTCAGGAGCTGGCCAGAAGCCCAAGGAATGCCTAGGACTCCTAGATTGTATGTATGCCAACCTCCAGCTTCAGACCCAGCTTGCTCAACAACAGATGGCTATTTTAGAAAACTTGCAAGCATCCCTATCACAACTGGACCCTGGGAGGGAGAGCAACGATTCTCTCCCAGCCTTATGTTGCAACTTGTTGTTAAATCACCTGCCCCAATTCCATAAATGAACTGTGGAACAAAGACACTGTGTATGCTTTATTTTCTCTCCTTTCATAGGCTTTTGGTGGAATCTAGCCATTGTATTCTGTATGTGTACCCAAGAATTGAACCCAGTGCCTTCTGCATGCTGAACATATGCTGTGCAACTAAGTAACATTCCTTGCCCCTAAGCATGTATATTCTACACTTTTTAAAAAAAGATTTATTTAATATATATACAGTGTTCTGGCACATAGGCATACATGCCAGAAGAGGGCACCAAATCTCATTGCAGATGGTTGTGAAACCACCATGTGCTTGCTGAGAATTGAACTGAGCCAGTGCTCTTAACCTCTGAACCATCTATCTCTCCAGCCCAGTCTACACATTTCTAACAGGCACCCACTGAGTGTAAATCATTTCACAAGGCACTTGGGGCTATGTATCTTGTATATTAAGAGGAGCAGAACCAATATGGTGGAGACATATATGTAAGGAATTTATTGAGCCATTTTACATTGAAATAGTAACCTCAGCTGCTTCACACCTAAGAGGCTGCAAACGTCATTCTGTAAATATGTTTCTCATACTGGTTAATGAATAAAGCACTGTTGGCCAATAGGAAAGCAAGATGGGCGGGACTAGGAGACAAGGAGGATTCTAGGAAGTAGTAGGGAGGAGTCAGCATGTAGAGACGGAAGAGAACAGAGGTCTCAGCCCACTCTCCAGTAAGATGAGACCATGTGAAAATACTTAGATTAATAGAAATGGGTTAATACTTAAGACAGAGCTAGCCAATAAGAAACAAGTAACTGGCTAACAGCATTATATCAAATGCAGAGTCTCTGTGTGTTCATTGGGGCTGGCGAGGGGGTGGGACAAGACCGGCGGTGGTGGGGAAAACTACTCCTTACACTCAGTAGCTGCTCACACCTTGAGGCTGAATGCCTTGGCTATCCCAGTCTGATACCAAAACCCTGGAGGGTTTCAGGGGAGCTGCTGGCCTTAGTGACAGCAGCCTGGAGCTGCTGGTTCTGATGTCTGTGAAGGGATCAGCAGCAGCAACAACACCTGGAGAAATCAACTCCATGAAGCAGAAAAGGACAAGTTCTAGGCCAACCAGAGCTACACAGAGAGAAACCCTGTCCAAAAAAAAAAAAAAAAAAATAGAAAGAAAGAAAAGCAAAGTCTGAGCTGATACTTGAAGATGTTGCCCACATTTTGGGTGTGGCTTCCCACATCAATTAAGGTAATAAATAAGCTCTTCAGTTGAGCTTCCCTACTCAAGTGATTCTAATTTGTGGCAGGTTGATTCCCTGGTTCCCTGGAGCTAGAGTTAGAATGGTTGTGAGCTACGCAGTGTGGGTGCTGTGAACGGAACCCTAGTCCCCAGGAAAAGCAGCAGCAAGTGTTCTTAACCACAGAACAGTCTCTTCAGCCCCTGCTCTGGAGTCGTTCTTCCTTTCTTCCTTTCTTTTGCTTTTTTTTTTTTTTTTTTTTTTTTTTGAGATAGGGCTTCTCTCTCTGTAGCTCTGGTTGGCCTAGAACTTGCTATGCAGACTAGGCTGGCCTCAAACTCACAGAGCTATGACTGCCTATGCCTTCTAAGTTCTGTGATAAAAGATGCATGCCCTCATGCCTCCTTTTTTTTTTTTTTTTTTTTTTTTTTTTGCTTTTTGAGACAGAGTTTCTCTGTGGCTTTGGAGGCTGTCCTAGAACTAGCTCTGTAGATCAGGCTGGTCTCAAACTCACAGAGATCCGCCTGCCTCTGCTTACCAAGTCCTGAGATCAAAGGCGTGCACCACAACCGCCTGGCTCACTCCACACTCCAAATTCTTATAGGCAAAAAATTATGCCATATCCAAAGATAACCATCCCTTCACAATATTAAATACATAAAAAAGTTAAGGCATGCACCATAAACCAGCAGGAATAAGGGTCTCAAATGAAGTGTTGAGTGGGAGAATTGGAGATGAAAAACAGAAAAGATGAAAAATAAGACAAAAGCAATAGCTGGGACCAGCAGGTCTTCCATAGCTGATGACTGATGCCAAGCAAGTTTATTAAGAAGTACAGCATCTTACATACTATTTGCAGGGGGAAGATGACCAAGGTCAGCAGAGAGCTGAATCAGACAATGTTAGCAAAGATAATACGGGATATATCAGACAGCTGCCTAAGGACTGATAACCTGAGATTCGGGTCCTCAGAAGCCACAACCTTGACTTTTCAAGACACTAGCTCCAGGGTCAGATCAGCCTTGCCAAGTCTGTTCTTGGATAAGAACACAAAATTAAAGTTCCCTTTGTCCCTTCATCAGGGCCTCTGAGGAAATCTTGGGTCAGTATGGTTCCCCACAGGCATGATCCTTGGCAAGGCAACTTGTGAGTGCTGACCTTTGCTGGTTAGGAAATGGTCCCTTTCAAAAATGTCTCCCGGACTGGAGGGATGTGTCTCTCCAGTTCCCAGTAAGATTTTGTGTCTTGGTGTAATCAACCAAAGTAATTGTAAGTAATTGTACTGAAAGGTACATGATGCTGCTGAATCCAAGGCTGCTTGTGGGCCCTAGTTTGCAAGGGTCCAGAAACCTAAACCCTGACAAATATAGTTTAATTTGAATGAATCTCCAGGTTCCCAACCCATATTCCCTTTAAATTCATATTTATTTCTTCTGAGATGTATTTTCCATAATTTCAATAAATTAAATTCCCCCTTAAAAATGTTTTGTGTTGATGTGGGGCGTGCCATCACGTGGGAGGCAGAGATAGGAGGATATCTGTGAGTCTGGAGGAAGCCTGGTCTACAAACTGAGTTCCATGACAGCCAAGGCTATTGCACAGAGAAACCCTGTCTCCAAAAACAAACAAGTTAATTTGGTCAACTGCTAGTTTAAGAAAATTGTTTAAAAGGAAAAAGTCTAAGGAGATAGATGGTAGACTCAGCTGTTAAGAACACTGGATGCAGCCAGGCGATGGTGGTGCAAGCCTTTGATCCCAGCACTCAGGAGGCAGAGGCAGGAGGATCTCTATGAGTTCGAGACTAGCCTGGTCTACAAGAGCTAATTCCAGGGCAGCCTCCAAAGCCACAGAGAAACCCTGTATTGGAAAACAAAACAAAACACTTGACGCTTACACAGAGGACCTGGGTTAGGTTCCTGACACCTACATGGCTTCTCACCACAGTCTGTGACTTGGATTCCAGGGGATCTTATGCCCTCTTCTGGCCTGCATGGTTACTGCATCCATTTATATCACACATACATCCAAAAAAAAAAAAAAAAAAAAAAACACTCATTATTCTAGTTTGCTTTCTTTTTCGATAAACTATAAACTAGGAGAAGGAAATGGATTATTTGGCTTACAGGTTAGTCTATCACAAAGGCAGGAACTGAAGCAGAGGCCACAGAGGAACGCCGGGCTTACTTGGCTTCCTTCCTTCCTTCCTTCCTTCCTTCTTTCCTTTCTTTCTTTCTTTTTTTGTGTACCACACTCAGTTGGAGTTTATTTGACATCATGATGAAGTCAGGTTATGAAGTTTTGTGTGTGTGTGTGTGTGTGTGTGTGTGTGTGTGTGTGTGTGTGTGTGTATTTTTTTCCTTTTGTGCACCAGGGATATATCCTGTTTCACTGTCAGAGGTTCAGACTTCCCAGGCCTTCTAACTGAGACCCATGTTCAGGGAGGTCTGAGTCAGTCCAACGCTGGTTTCCCAGTTATCAGTCTGGGGGGGTCCATGAGCTTCCCCTTGTTCAGGTCAGCTGTCTCTGGGTTTTTGAAGCCTGGTCTTGACCCCTTTGCTCATCACTCCTCCCTCTCTGCAACTGGATTCCAGGAGTTAGGCTCAGTGTTTAGCTATGGGTGTCTGCTTCTGTTTCCATCTGCTATTAGATGAAGGCTCTAGGATGGCATATAAGTTAGTTATCAATCTCATTATGAGGGAAGGGCATATAAGGTAGCCTCTCCACTGTTGCTCAGATTGTTAGTTGGGGTCATCCTTGTAGGTCTCTGGACATTTCTCTAGATACCATCTTACTCCTGCCAGAATGGCTAAAATTAGAAACACCAATGACAGTTTATGCTGGAGAGGATGTGGAGAAAGGGGAACACTCCTCCACTGCTGGTGGGAGTGCAAACTTGTACAGCCATTTTGGAGGTCAGTATGGCGGTTCCTCAGGAAAATGGGAATCAGTCTACGATAGGACCCAGCAATCCCACTCTTAGGCACATACCCAAATGATCCACATCCATTCAATAAAGACATCTGTTCAACTATGTTCATAGCAGCATTATTTGTAATAGCCAGAACCTGGAAGCAACCTAGATGCCTCTCAACTGAAGAACGGATAAAGAAGATGTGGCACATTTACACAATGGAGTATTACTCCGGGGGGAAAAAACAATGGAATCTTGAAATTCGCAGGCAAATGGATGGAACTTGAAGAAATCATCCTGAGTGAGGTAACCCTGTCATATATGGATTTTAGACATAGAGCAAAGGATCACCAGCCTATAATTCACACCACCAGAGAAACTAGGATTCAAGGAGGAACCTAAGAGATTCATACAAGGTCCCTCACAGAAGGGGAAAGGAACAAGAAGAGCTCCTGAGCATATTGGGAGTGGGGAGGGGCGGTGAGTGGAGAGGGAGCTAGGAGAAAGAGAAGGGGAGGAGAGGAAAGCATGTGGGGCCAGGAAGATTGAGTGGGGGACGAGAGTTATTAAAAAAAAAAAAAAAGGATACCATAATAGAGGGAACCATTATAGGTTTGAAGAAAAATTGGCTCCCTTTCTTACACAGCCCAGGACCACCTGCCCAGGGATAGCATTGTCCACAGCGGGCTGGACCCTCCTCCACCAATTAACAATCAAGAAAATGCAGCTTGAAAACCAGCAGGAGGTGGCAGGGTACTGAAACAGGAGACACTGTGACCGCCTAAAACAGTCCATAGAGGGGCCCAGTTTTGTGTCCTACAATACGAAGTGTACTACATGGCAATTCAGAGTCTCAGTTGTGCATTTGTGTATGGAGTATTTCAAGTTACTTCTA